TTCTGAAGTTACTTGGCGTGTGCCTGTTAAATGAACCTCAGTACCTTATACTCGAGCTGATGGAAGGAGGGGATCTACTTAGTTATTTACGAGGAGCCAGAAAGCAAAAGGTAAGGGAATGACCATGAGACTCATATTTTTAAACTGTAACTGCCCACAGTTTCTCAGTTTTTCCCTTCGTCAAAGGCCATGCTGATGTCTGGCTGTTTCTGTACCTGCGAGGTCTGACATGGCGTTTCCCTAACACCTTGGGACCTCAGTGTTGAGTGCTGACCTTGCATTCAGAGTTGCTGTGAAGATTGAATGTCATTAGACCACTGACCAAAATCGTGTTTTCAGTTGTGAGATATCTGCTGACATGGTATGAATACCACGAACAGTCCTTTGAAAATCGATCATAAATAATGGTGGCTATGTATTCAGTATATTGAGCCTCATAGTGGTTTTTTTTTGTCTTTGAACAGCAGCAGTATCCTTAGTGTGTTAGGCATAGTCCAGGCATAAAAGCAGGTACTGTCCCTGTGCCTGTATCCTCAAATCCTTTAGAAGGAAAGAGGAGAAAAAAATAAAGAATAAACCTCTTTAACTAAGTAATTTTTTTTCATAGTTAGCATGCAGATTAAGAATATGGATGGTAGGACTCAACATTGAAGTTTTATAGCGTTATAGCTATTGTCTACTTCATTTACATGATCAGATCAAATCCTCAGCCAGTATTGGATTCTTCTGAAATATATATGCATATATTCTACCAGAATAATATATTATACCGATTACTACAACAACAAGCAAGCCTGACCTGATGGTGGAAATTTTCAGGGTCCCGTTTCTGCCACTATAGTGAAGAAGCACTTTTGAAAGTCCTAGGATATTCTTAGCCCCAAATTGGCTCACCTACCTTGCAGTGCAGTGATTTGGCAGCTTACCCTGCCAGTAATTATCATTTGCTCTACTGACATACAGAAATTCTGCACCTGTGCTTGGCATGTTTTGGAAAAATCCTACACGTTTCAAAAGAGGAAACAATACCACCTTTGCATGGGGAGGTTGTCATTCTGAGTCTGTAAAGGTGGAAAGCATGGCTAACTTCTGTCTTTGTTTCTTGTAGCTGCAGAGTCCCTTGCTGGCATTGACTGACCTCTTGGATATATGTCTGGATATTTGCAAAGGCTGTGTCTATTTAGAGAAAATGCATTTTATACACAGGTACGGAACTAATTTCTTTAGTCTCCCAAGGTTTACCCACAACATCGGGACTAATTATCTTACCTGGGAAGAATTGCCTGGAAAGATGTCACATTGTAACAAGAAAGGTGAGAGCACTGGAGTAAAATTTAATGTTATGTTTTTCTGATAAAAACTACCTACAGTTCTCTTGCCATATGGTGGGCTACTGTAAGATCTGAATCCAGGATTCATTGCACTCGAAGCAAGAATCGTATCCCATGCAAAAGAGAAGGGCAAGCGGGGAGATCCATTTACTGTCTTCATCTGATTAATGGGTAGTTATAGAGGACACGGAGCCAGAATTTTCTCAGAAATGCACAGGGAAAAGATGAGAAGTAATAGGCACAAGCTACAGCAAAGGAAAGTAGAAAGCATTGTTCACAACGTGCAGGATCAATCACTGGAATGGGTTGTCCAGAGGGGCTGTGTCATCTCCAGTCAAGAAGGTATGCAAAACTTAACTGGATGAGGCCTAAGCCACTTGATCCGACCTCAAGGTTGGCACTGCTCTGAAGAGGGGGCTGAATCAGACGACCTCCAGAGGTCCCTGCTGACCTGAGTTATTCTGCAATGCTAACTCCATCCTCTTGTTTCTGCTGCCATCCCAGGGACCTGGCTGCTCGCAACTGCCTGGTGACGGAGAAGAACACCCTGAAGATCAGCGACTTCGGGATGGCACGGGAGGAGGAGGATGGCATCTACGCCTCCACAGGGGGGATGAAGCAGATCCCTGTCAAGTGGACCGCCCCCGAAGCACTCAGTTATGGTATGGGATGGAGCCGGGCACGACCTGGCGGCCTCGCACACAGCTGGGAGATAGGAGTCCGGGGCACACCGTCCTGCTCCGTCACGCCCG